CACGGTAGATAGTTTAAGGTTGAGGCTGTGGGGGGTTTGAGGATGTAACAACGGAGTCAGGTAGAGCATTCCAGGCGTTGACCACTCTGTGGATGAAGTCGTATTTTCTGCAATCAAGTTTGGAGTGGTTTACCTTGAGTTTGTATCTATTCTTTTGGCCATGCCAGTTCTCTAGATTTGGACGTAAGAATTTGGCCTTGTAGAGTATTCAAACAACCGAAAACAACATTTTCAGAGATGTTGCATGACTAATGTTAAGCTCACCTTTCCTTTTTTAAGCATGCTCTGTGTGAATGCCTGACAGCCTCCTCACCTCTTCATTCTAAATGGCGCTTTGTTGGTAAACTGGAGGCAGAACAATTGCCTGCATTATTTATTGTATAACTTTGGCCGGGTAAAACTATTCTCTCTGTGATTAAAATATATATACTATATGCTGCATAATCTGGAGAGGCCTAGTCTTCATTTTGGCAAAGAGCAAAAAATCGGCAGAAGCTAACAGGCAAAAGAAGGCGATGATTTTGCATCGCGCATAACTGGGCTGTATTTAGAAAGTGTGGAAAGGAATGCCATTCAGACGTACATGCCACCTGAACCTCTGATTTCCTCTGCAAGAGAGCCCCCATTCTGTTCCGCACGACACACTGATAAAAACCACCGTCCGATTTTTTCAAGGAAGGAATGACGTATCTGTAAGACAAAGGAGAGAAGCATGAATTAAAAGAATGCTCTTGGTTTTAAGGTTGCTTTCTCAGAAACCGTGTAAAGCTAACGGGGAAGAATAGCTCAGCTGTTCAAAACTTTCCACGCTTCTAATGCAGGGGGCTTCCCACCCGACCGATCCCCCGTTCTTCTATTTTCTACTATCCTGTAGTTTGTTTTGTTGCCTGCAAAAGAGAAGGAGACTAACGTGGATCCCAGACAGGTAGTCCTCAATTTACGATCACAATTAGGCCCAGGATTTTTTATGCTAAGCAAGGCGGTGGTTAAGTGAGTCACGTCCAATTGTGTGTCCCTGGGTTAGTTAACTGCAGTCGTTAAGTGCATCACCCAGTCATTAAGCGAATCTGGCTTCCCCCATTGACGTTGCTCATCGAAAGCTGGCTGGAAATGGTGATCAGAGGACTCTGTGATTTTGCAACTGTCATAAATACATGCCATTTGCCAAGTGCCTGAATTTTAATCTCTCTCTCTCTCTCTCTCTCTCTCTTTCTCTTTCTCACTCAGTCACTCACACAGAAACACTAGACAGGTAGTGTTTGACTTAAGGCCACCACTGAGCCCAAAGGGTACGTTGCTAAGTGAGACATGTGTCAAGTGAGTTTTGCCCACATTTTAGGACCTTTCCTACTGTGGACGTTAAGTAAATCACTGCAGTTCATAAGTTAGTAACACGATTGCTAAGCCAATCTGGCTTCCCCATTGAGTTTGCTTGCGAGATGTTTGCAGCAACGGTCGTAAGTATGAGCCAAGCGTATGAATTTCGATCAGGTGGCCTCAGGGATGCTGCGGAACAGCCGGAAGTGTGGAAAAATGGTCATAAGTCACATTTTTCAGTGCCTTTTCAACGGTCGCTAAACAGAGTGTGGTAAGTCGAGGAA